TATAATTGATGCTCAAACGTGATGTTATTAGCACTGCCCCTGCCAATGTTTCAATAAACCTCATTACCAAAATGTTTTGCCACATTCATTTTTGAAAGCAAATTGTTTTCTTATATTTCTTTTAGAAGATGACGTGAAAGTAGCGTACCTAAATGCAGCAATAAAAAAACAAATTCAAAATAAATAAATAAAATATATCCACAAACGAGAGTAAACGAAACAGTGTGCTAGAGCACAGTCAACACTAGACAATGAGCAAACTGAACTGAGGGCAAGATATATAAAGTGAACTTAATGAACGAAATGTGTGAAAACAATGAATAACCATGACAACCAATCGAAACATACTTAGTAACCGAAGCTGTGTTCGAAATCACTATTCACTATTCCCTTCATTAGTCCACTAATATAGACCACTTGAAGGAGTGACACTGAGTGCATAGTTTGTGCTTGCTGTTTAATAATCATTCGAAACTTAGCAAACTGGCAGCTCCAGTTGTAATGAAACTATTTATCTTGAATCTGTCATGGAAACTATGCACAACCCTTAATTAAACAATATAATAATCAATTAAAAAGGAATTTATACCTGTATGATATTACGCTGTAGCCACATTGGACCAGAGGTTTGGAAAATGGATGATTGATTCAACTGCGGGCGCCACTTTATGGTGAGACACTGGAATTCATTTGGCACGACCCTCACGTTGCATTATGGGCATTTTCTAGGCGTTGAGCGTACTTCGCTTGTACACTTGTTATGTGGTTCATTGTGGGATTGAATGAGTGCACTCGATAACGTCCACTATGGTTTCGGACACCACTACAAATGGCTGTACCCTCAAATAGTGCCCTATTTAAAGGTATAGGGAGCGATTTCGGACACAGCCCAAGACAACTAAGGAAACACGGGAAATAAACTAAGGGTGTATTCACACCAGGAAAGTCCGATAGTTCACTTGCTTTGTTTGGTCTGGATCAAATAAATTGTTTTTTTGTTTTTTTTGGTACGGTTCGCTTTCACGCTGCTCTTTTTGCAAGTGAACCAAAATTTGTAAACAAAACCACACGTGTGCTAAGGTCGTCCATTCATTGGACAAGGATTCTCAAGTAGGGAAATCAGGAAGTGCAAAAAAGGCTTAACGTAAATTAACGCAGCATCATCCTTGTATTGTAACTATCGTTACATTATATGAACTGTAAATGTTTTTTTTTGCATCTATGCGCGATTAGACTAAAGAGAACGCTCTGTATGTGAATGTCCTGATGCACACACTCATTCATTCATTCATTCCAATGATGCACACACGACGCGCAGAAAGACGCGCAACAGATGTAATGTAGTAGGCTACAACAGATCACTTTCCCATAACGCAACTCCGACTACGGAAGCCTGTTAACTCAAAGGCGCAGTGCTTTCTTGCAATTGGGTCGGTTCATGTTCACACCGTAAACGAACCGTACCAGAGTTCGTTTGGAACCGTACCGAGACCACCTCTTCAGCTGGGTCTCGGTTCGGTTGTTTGGTCCGCACCCGAGTTCGATTGCTGTATTCACACCTGCCCAAAAGGTCCGCAGACTCCGCACCAAGGGGGGGAAACGAACTAGAGTTCGATTCAATCGAACCAAACAAGGCAGCTGTGAATACACCCTTAAAGTCTTATGAAAATGAAACAACAACTGAATGTGACAGTAACATTATTTGCTTTATTTCAGATGTGCTTTTTAGGATGTCTTTAAAATGTACTGCAGCATAGCCCGATAAAACCAAACTCAGTGTTATGAAATGCTATAAATCCATTTTGTGCTTGCAAAGTTTGTTCTCTTCACTGTAAAGAGATCATGTAACAGTAATTGATGTATAAAATGACTTCCACTTAAAGCAGCTCTTGCCACACTAGTAAAGAGTGCACACTCTAATTGCTTTCAGGAAAAATAAGGTGTTTTTCTGGGCTAGTGTCATTGCAGTTGAACATAATTGGGGATTCCATGATGGTGAGGATCAAAAGGAAAAGATTTACCTTCTCATAAAAAAAAAACAGCACACAATCCATTCACAACGTAATCCCTTCACCAGCCACCGTACATTTCACTGCTTCAGTTAATGTCTCACCCTTTGATACAAAGAGTGAAGCTAACTGGCCAAATGGTTTCCATGGAGATGAATTTTTGCAAATTTAAGGGTGTAAAGAATGTTAAAAAAGAAAAACTCAAGTGCTCATATGCAATCCTTCTTTAAGCACGTCCTGATTTTGCTGAGTTAGAAGCGTTCCTGGGTCAACATTGTTGATCCTGGAACAACATTCCTATCTGAACATTTTGTCCTAAGCAAATCTCTACACCAAAACCTAACCCTACCCATAACTTATCCCTTAAATAAGAGGGAAATAATAGGTGAAAAAAAAACTGATGTAAAAGCAGCTTACCCGGGTTGTAAGGCTAAACTTGACATAAACTGTCAAGTGTCCCTCAAAACAAAGATGTTGATCATGGAACATGTTGCACTTGGTGAAATCAATTTCTGCCTTCTTCAAATAGGCTATATTGGATTGGAATACTACGGTGCATACACTTTAAAACTAGGTTGTTATGTTTTGTTTATTCTAAATTCCTTTGAATTGTAAAACAGTCTTCTTAGTCACACTAGACCTTGAGAACACAAAATTTCTACGGACTCTGTAATGGTGTAATGGCGTAACACTCTGTGGCGTCTTTTTCATGAACATGAATTCAACATATAACAAATAGTAATGATGTAAAAAAAAATGTTAAAATTTACAATCTACTCGACTTTACTGCAAAAATATGCGTTCTTTTAATTCAGTCAATAGGTCACGCCATGACGTATCGATCTTCTACCGCTGAGTTCACCAAACTTGACCTTTGGAAAGCAGCGAAATGCAAAACTTTTCTCATGAGCTTGCGTTTCCGGTCTGATTTGCATGCGTATAAATGGATGTAAATGGAACGAAGTGTGTAGTGTGCCCCCTTTATCTTGTTGATGTGCCTTTGCTGCCATGGTAACCAGTGCCTGGTTCTGCATTTGGGTTGTGAGGGGCCATTTACACAACACGATTTTCAACTATAACCGGAAAACTTTTTATGCGTTTTTGCCATTCATTTACACGTCAACAGCATTTTGGGGGCCTGAAAACACAAACTTTTAAAAACGTGTTGCAAAGTGCAAGTTTTTGAAAGCGGTACCGTCATAGTCTCTGTGTCTCTGGTGATGTCGTGTGCATGGTGTGCGTATTACGTGTTCAGTCTATAGGCGCATTGTGTTTCTTTACAAAGTGACATCGCCAAACTGGCCTGGCATGAATAATACAGCGTTTTTAATCGTTTTCACTGATCAGTGTGAAAAGGGATCGTTTTGACAACGTTGGCGTCTGTTTTTAGTACATCGTTGTCGTGTAAAAGTACCCGTAGTTGCTCTTCAGGAGTAGTTCCACAGAACTCTACCTCATGGTTTGCTTGTTGGGTGCACGGTATTGTGGATTTTTAAAAAATATATAAGTTATATAACATAGTAATTGTGTGTCGGATCTGTCTCAGTTGCTACATTTATCATTTAATGTCACAATGCCAGATGTTTACTTACTGGTTTAAACTCTCCTTTACTAACAATCTGTAGACTTGTTGTATCTAGAGACCAGAATATCACAGAGAACTGGGGGTGGACAGCTTTAACTTGGCCAGTAAGAAACCACCAAAAATCTCTAGCAATGCCCTTACAATACAAGAAAAAATGTAGGGAAAAAATATTGTCTGACTGAAAGTTGAACTTTAAAACAGATAATTAAGGAAAACAAGTAGTCCTTCACATCATCTTAGACAGGATGCAGATTTGTTGTATAACTTCCATGATGACTTCTGGGGCTTCCTTAGTTACCATGTTCCCCAAGCCCACTGCAATTAGATTAAAGGGCACACAGATGTTTTGCCAGTTTTGTTTGGAAGTAAGGATTGCATGTCTGAGTGGATGAAGTTAGTGTCTCATTAAAAGCGCTGTTCCTCTGTACAGTCCTATTTTGAGTGGTTCATGAATTTGAGTTTGGAGCGGTAATCAAATAAGCGCCTCTAGTCGCCGTCTCTGGAGAAAACCCAGTCATCACTCGACATGAGAACCTGCAAGCTTCCTCTGACAATATCAGACTAACACAGCACAATTTCACTCCCAATAGGGGTTTATGTGTGGGAGTGTATAGAATTATAGGAATAATACACCCAAACATGAAAATTCTGTTATAATTTTCTCATCATGTCATTTCCAAAACCCTGTGGCATTATTTTTCTCTATACTTATGGTTTTTCTGTAATAATCTCTGTGCTGCTCTTATTAAATGTTTGAAATCAATTGAATAAATGTCATTGTCTTGGAATGAAAAAAATGAATGTACTAACAAATGCATGTGCTTTATTTTAATGCCATGGACTAGCCTCCTTTGAAATCAGCTTACCAATAGGCAGCCATTTTAATTTCAAACTTTTGAGAGATAATTAAGGAGAGTCTTTTTGTTGACTAGATTTTGTCCTCTGAATAAAAATGTCCAAACAATACACTTGAATTTCATGATATTAAATAATGAATCATAAAGTATTCAATATATAAGAAAGTTTTCTAAATGTAAAACAAAATAAGTGTATTTGAGTGCAGTTTACAGCCAAAGACACACAGCAAATGTTAGTGAATGTAAAGAGTGTCAAACTACCATTTCTCAGTTTTGCTTCTTCCTGGTGCAGATCATATTTTCGTCATTTTGTAACGTTATAAAAGGGCTTTAATTCAATCCATGAACTGAATACCATCCATTCCCAAATCTACAGCCATGAAACCACCAAAGCTCTCAAATCTCATTTAATCAATTTAATCGCTGTGGGTGTAAATGGAGCTTTAACAGGGACAGAGGTATTTCTCATAATAGGATGTGTGAGTCATTCTTGTTGTTGATGCAAGTCTACATGTTGACGTAAATATGTATTTATATGTGTGCTTCCAGAGGGCCCAGTGATCTGGCGCATGCTGACCTACCCTCCGGCTCGCCGTGCTCTCATTGTGGGTTGTGGACTCCAGATGTTCCAGCAGCTTTCTGGCATCAACACGGTCATGTAAGTCTCCTTCACTCAGTTCTCAGGTGTTCTTTGAATCTCAACTGAAGTAATATCAAGTCTGTTATTTTTTTAAGAGGCCATTTTGTAGCGTTTTTTAACATGTAAAGCCAGTAATAATGCCAATCAAAGTTTCTTGGAACAAAGCAGACGTAAACTCTGTTTCAAAACCTACTTAGCTGCCTTGCTGTCTACATAGGCAACTACCTTGTAAGGAAACACCTTATACAAATTAAAAAGTGACTGATTTGAAACACTCTACACAGCAACTCCACACGCTGTTCAAATTGTGCTCCTCACAAATTGACCGCGAGAGTCAATTGGCTCCAATAGAATTTGATATTAGCACATCACAATGTGATACTATTGCTGAATTCTAGCCATGTTGTAATTATCGCAATTTCGAGATGACAACACGTGACATTCTAATTAAAGCTGTTCATGTCCTTGGACTGGGAAATCTGTTTTTATTTGGCAACACTATCAACACCTAAATTAATCTGTAAATCAGGTGGTAGAAATAGGTGCTCTCTGAAAATTCCCAGGTTACAATTTGTAAGTATGAGTTCTACGAGGACGTGAATGCTTTTTACATGTTGGAATCTCGTAATTACGACATGGTATTAATTCACCTTTTATTAAACACAGAAACAAATAGAATTATGAATTACATAATTTAATTTTCCAGTCCGTCTATGTCACGATTTCTTGTGTTTTGTGTTCTTGGACTCTTATTTTGATATTCTTTTGTTTTGCTGTGCCTGTGTTCAGTTCCTGTTAACCTTAGTTTCTGTAGTTTCCCTTGTTAGTTGCCATGACAACCAATCACCTTCACCTGTTCCTTATTAGCCTTTTGTAATCCTGTGTACTTATACCCCTGTGTTTTAGTCCTTGTTTGCTGGCCGTTGTCTTTACTGTAAAGCTGTTACGTCTCCTGTGTTCCCTTGTCATCTTGTTTGGATTATTGCCATTGTCTTATGGTTCGGATTACCTTTGTGTTTACTGAATAAAGACCTCATCTCTCCTTGACCCGGCCTGCTACACACGTGATAATTAAAGAGAGGATTTTTGATACTGTGCCTTTAAAACTTATATGTAAATGAATCAAAGGTCAAGCTGCTGAAAAGATGTGTATATGTAAATATGGTCGGCCATTTGTTAATATGCTGATGGTTGTGATGTCATCATAATCATGAAGATTTAAAAATGTCATTTTGCAGTTTAGTTTCAATAATTGGTATACATCCAATAATAGTATGTCTACAAAGTATAATTATCAAATATATCTTGATTCAAATATGTCTCCTTTAAAAAAAATGCCACACATAGATGTTTGTAGGAGGAAGGACTGTTTCACAACTGATTCAAAATTCAGAAGTTGTTCATTCACATTCACAGATGTGACTGTGCCTTTAATTCTCTTGTTAGCTGAACTTTAATGGATACCCTTCTAAAGTGTGATTTCCTCTTCGTGATCTCTTGTCTTTTTCGCTCCTTATTCAGTGACTATTTTTCAAGCATTGTAAACAATCTCGGAATGTGTGCTGTTGCTAAGCAACCCCTCATGGCAAAACGAGAAGTGTTTATGGGAGAGAGAAGGGAAAATTGTGTGTGTGACTGTGTGTTTACTTATTTTCTCAGCTGTCATTTTGGAAGATCATGTCATGGTCATGGTCATGGTCATGACAGATGGATCCTAAAATGGTATTCTCGGTCAATCAAACACCTTTATTCTTATCCTTCTGTCGTTGTCAATCAATCTGTCCAAAGCAGGTTTAGACAGACAGTATAGCAGTTAAAACTGACAGGTACACTCACACACACACACACACATGTATGAAGTAGTGTTTAGTAGGTTTAACCTGATGTGCTATTTCGTATTTGCCCACAATCCCCTACTCCTCAATCGTTCCTGCATTGTCAGATGTCAATCCTTTGTACACAGGAAGTCTTGTTGTGGGATGTGTTGTCTGTCAAGCTTAACCTATGCACGAAGAATTTGTCAATACCTCTCATGGAGCGAATGTCTTTGGGGACGTGTGCCAATTTGATGTCAGCCGGAAAAATCTATTCCGTTCAGAAAAGCACAAATCTTAAACTGCTATATGTTACTAATGGCTGCCCTTACACTGGAATTACAGCATCTACCACAGAAATTCATGAGGTTTTACAGACAGCTTGAGGATCCAATGGCGTTACGAGGTTTAGTCGCAAGCTCTTTTTAATACTTTTCATTGGTTAAATATTCGCAAAACCCACAGACCAACGTAAAGGGTCACCAATGGTAATGATTTATGAAAACAAAAATTCATATGAAAGTTTTCCATCCGACAGTGACGATGAAACTCCTCAAAAGAATTGCGCATTTTTTAACAAAGGTGGGTAATTCGTACGAATTCATACGATTTTTGCTAAAGCGTATATATTTTATGAGTTGCCAAATTCATATGAATTCATACGAATGACCTACCCCTGACCCCGCCTCTAAACCTACCCATAACTGGGGTTTAGACAAATCGTACGAATTCGTACGAGTGAGGTCGTACAAATTAGCCAACTCGTACGAATTCGTACAAATTGGTCGTGAGATAGCGTTGATCTGAACACAAAGACAATAGAATTGCTTTATCAGTGACAAGCATCCCCTCCTGATGGACAAGACCCCTGCGTAGGCTGAAGCGCTGGCCATGCTGCTGTCGTAATTAGCTTGTGCTAATGCTTCCTTCCAATCAGGCATTGAACTAGTCTGCTTTCCTGCAAACAGCTTTATCTCCCCTTACTCCACTCCCAAGCCATTATTCACATGCCTTAATTGATTAATGTGTTATTTAGTATAGAACATTGTCGTTACATGCTAATACCAGAGTGCTAACATTTAAACAAGTCTGAAGGGTTGTAGAGGAATCAGTTTTGCTGATGTTGTGTTGTCGTTGGTTTCTGAGATGGCATCCTGTATATGTGTGTGGCAACTGAGCCTCATCTGTGCCTGGATAAAATGATTAGATCAATCCCTGTTGCCGAAACAGGCAGACCAATCTGGAATCTCTGCGTTTTAATAAAGACGGATGGTCATTACAGTCACTAGTGGTCATCAGCAATACAGATTGGTTCTAGTGATACATTTTTGGCCTGTTTTCGTTCTTGCTGGCACGCTATGACTTGTTCCTTGGGTTTGTGACAGTGCTGGCACCACTGGCCTTTGGCGCTCTGTGTTTTTGTGATTCGTATGGAGTTGCGCATGATTCATAATTACCAGCTGTGAACCTCCCACAGTCTGTTCACTGACCAGACAAACAAAAAAGCTCTGATCTAGGCTGTGTTTCCCAAAAGCATTGTTACCAAGCTATAGTTGCAAGATCCATCATTACCAACATAGTTCAATGATTCAGTGTTTCCCAAATCCATAGTTCCAGCGAACATTCACAAATATAGCATAGCAGTGATTGGAACTACAGCTCTCAACTTGTTAGTATGAATTGGACTTTAATAGATCATGCTCTTGGGCTCAATAAGCAAGCTGACATTCAGTACATTTCATGTGTTTTATTACATATAAATACACTCACCTAAAGGATTATTAGGAACACCTGTTCAATTTCTCATTAATGCAATTATCTAATCAACCAATCACATGGCAGTTGCTTCAATGCATTTAGGGGTGTGGTCCTGGTCAAGACCGTCTCCTGAACTGCAAACTGAATGTCAGAATGGGAAAGAAAGGTGATTTAAGCAATTTTGAGCGTGGCATGGTTGTTGGTGCCAGACGGGCCGGTCTGAGTATTTCACAATCTGCTCAGTTACTGGGATTTTCACGCACAACCATTTCTAGGGTTTACAAAGAATGGTGTGAAAAGGGAAAAACATCCAGTATGCGGCAGTCCTGTGGGCGAAAATGCCTTGTTGATGCTAGAGGTTAGAGGAGAATGGGCCGACTGATTCAAGCTGATAGAAGAGCAACTTTGACTGAAATAACTACTCGTTACAACCGAGGTATGCAGCAAAGCATTTGTGAAGCCACAACACGCAAAACCTTGAGGCGGATGGGCTACAACAGCAGAAGACCCCACCGGGTACCACTCATCTCCACTACAAATAGGAAAAAGAGGATACAATTTGCAAGAGGTCACCAAAATTGGACAGTTGAAGACTGGAAAAATGTTGCCTGGTCTGATGAGTCTCGATTTCTGTTGAGACATTCAGATGGTAGAGTCAGAATTTGGCATAAACAGAATAAGAACATGGATCCATCATGCCTTGTTACCACTGTGCAGGCTGGTGGTGGTGGTGTAATGGTGTGGGGCATCGTTTAAATGCCACGGCCTACCTGAGCATTGTTACTGACCATGTCCATCCCTTTATGGCCACCATGTACCCATCCTCTGATGGCTACTTCCAGCAGGATAATGCACCATGTCACAAAGCTCGAATCATTTCAAATTGGTTTCTTGAACATGACAATGAGTTCACTGTACTAAAATGGCCCCCACAGTCACCAGATCTCATCCCAATAGAGCATCTTTGGGATGTGGTGGAACGGGAGCTTCATGCCCTGGATGTGCATCCCACAAATCTCCATCAACTGCAAGATGCTATCCTATCAATATGGGCCAACATTTCTAAAGAATGCTTTCAGCACCTTGTTGAATCAATGCCACGTAGAATTAAGGCAGTTCTAAAGGCGAAAGGGGGTCAAACACAGTATTAGTATGGTGTTCCTAATAATCCTTTAGGTGAGTGTATATATATATAACTGTGACTTTTACCTCAATAAACTCCTAATAACTGCTTATTAATCGTTAGTAAGGTAGTTGTTAAGTTTAGGTATTGGGTTGGATTAAGGGATGTAGAATATGGTTATGCAGAATAAGGCATTAATATGTGCTTTATAAGTACTAATAAACAGCCAATATCCTAGTAATATTCATGCTAATAAGCAACTAGTCAATAGTGAGAATTAGACCCTAAACTAAATTGTTACCAAAAAAATTAAGTAGTCCTTA